GGGTATGAGTTATCGTGTCATGTTGATATTGTGTTGACCCGTTAGCCACCCGTTAAGCTATCGTGTTGTGTTATGTCGTGTTAATTCGCGAATACTCATTAACCCGTTAAGCTCCGGGACATTTTTGTAAATTTATCTCTTTCTTTTTTTAGTTTTATTTTTTCTTCTTCTCTTTCTTCTCTTTTGTCTCTTCCTCCCCCATTTCCCCGATTCTCTCAGTACTCTCTCTCTCTCTCTCTCTCTCTCTCTCTCTGTCTCTCTCTCTCTCAAAACCCAGCAACCTTTGAGCTTTCTTCTTCTCTCAACTTGAAAGTCTTAAGCAGCCACTACACCACCCAACCACCATGAGACATCCCAGCCATCTTCCCCTTTGTCTCCCTCCCTCACCGATCGATCCCGCCTATTCTTTCACCTTCTCCGATGACTCTTCCTCCTCCACTCCCACCATCTTCGCTGTCCAAACCTTTGAGGGCCACTCGCAGGGCATCTCCAATCTCACCTTCAAGCTCGTCTATGGACTGTTCTGAATTTTTTTTTTTTGGTTATGCACTGGTTGATTTTTTAATTGTTTAAAATTTATGTTTTTGTTTTTATTTTTTTATTCTTAACAGATTATCATATCGTGTCGTGTCATGTGATTCACAAATTGTAACGAGTCTTGTTCGTGTTTGACATTTTCAACTCGTTTTCTTATCGTGTCAACCCGTTAAGAAAAGCGATTAACACGAAAACGACACGAACACTGAAAAAAAACACGAATGCCAGGTCTAATTTTTTCCCAACCCCGATTTCTATCCCCCACACCCATAACATGAGATCTTGAAAGGGGAATCAAAAAGGAAACCAAACAATAAAATAAAGAAAAGAAATTTTAAAAAAACATGAGAATAAATCTGGATTTTAAAAAGGCAAATCCTCCAACAGACCTTCTTCAAATCTAATTTAAAAAGACAAATCTGTATTAAAATCACATGAGATGCTGATATGGCTGTGTCTGTTCAATCCAGCACATGAAAAGATAAATATGCCCTAATTTTTAACGGAAAAGTTGACTGAGATGACGAAAAGGACGATTTCTGAAAGTGGAGGCATAATTAAAGTACCACCGTAACAATTTAGTAATATGAGGGATGAAAAGTAAAGTTTGGTCTTATCCAGGGACCATTGTTACAATTTTGCCTATATCTATATAAAGCAAAAGGCAGAGAACGGTGAAACATTCAAAATACCAGAAAATACCCTTAGTTAATTCAAACATTAAGAATTGAAATTATTAATTAAATGAGGATAATATGGTAAATTCTCATTTTTTTTCATATTAAAAAATAAAATTAAAAACAAAATCAGATAATAGGTTATACTTTTATGGAACATAACTACCCATGTTATCTTTTCTTAATTCTAAAAATAAAAAAGAAAACCAATTGGCACATGCGTTAAATAGAGAGAGAGAGAGAGAGAGAGAGAGAGAGAGAGAGAGAGAGAGAGAGAGAGAGAGAGAGAGAGAGAGAGAGAGAGAGAGAGAGAGAGAGAGAGAGAGAGAGAGAGAGAGAGAGAGAGAGAGAGAGAGAGTGTTGTTAAACGAACCCTAAAATTAACTGAGTACACCCTACTACCAAAGTATTTATTGAATTACTAATTTACTCTAATATAAAATGACCAAAAATGATATGTTGAATTATGAAACAAATATAATTTGGGTTAACTGTTGATTTACCCCCTGAACTTATACGTTATTTTCAATTTGCACCCTCAACTTTTTTTTTCTGGAAAATTGACTACACGAACTAATTTTTATTTCCAATTTCCCCCTTACCGTCTAAATCTCAACATTTCTTCTAATTTGCCGTTAAATATGAGGGCAAAGTGGTCATTTTACATGTTAAAATAGTATGAAATCTTAAATAAATAAATAAATTATTTTAATAAACAGAGTGGCCCACCCATGCCTTCCATTTGTTGTAATTAAAAAAACAAAGGGGAGGTGGTGAGAGAGAGAGAGAGAGAGAGAGAGAGAGAGAGCAGACCAGAGGGGGTGTGGAGGTGGGACATGAATGGCGATGACATTGTCACCAGGCTCCACCACTTTGACGAGTGCCCACGTCAACAGCTCCTTGCTATGTGAATCTAACTTCACCCCCACCACCACCGTCTTCCCACCAACACCACCATCACCTTCTCTAGTCAACAACTTCATTTCACCACCGGCTGCCTTCGTCCGACGTCGTTTCTTTCCCAGAGAAATCAGTCACTCCAATGGCACTGGTGTTTGTTAGTTTGTATGTTCTGTTGAGAATTGGAAACTGGAAATTGGGAAATCAAATCCTGGTTAGTTGGTAGGTGGCTTGCAATGGTGGCCATGGGGAATGGGGGAGAAGGAAATGGGTGGTTGTAGGCTTGGGTTCTGGATTCATGGGGAAGGGAGGGGTGGGGATGTGTGGGTGTGTGGGTGTGTGGGTGTGTGGGTTCTAGGACTAGGGTGGGGGGATTCGTCTAGAGTGAAGGGTGGAGGTCATAGAGGAATGGGGGAATGGAAGGAGAAGAAAACCGCAGGGGGTGGGTGGGTGAGTAGGTCCCTAGGGTTTATTTTTCTTCTTGTTCTTGTTCTTTTTTTTTTCTTTTCCGGTTTTCTTTTTCTTTAATTTTTTCAAAAAGAATATTAAAAAATTGTATCTAAAATGACTGGAAAAGTATAAACAAGACTGGATATAATTTGATCATTATGAGCAAATCCAAAATCTTTGTAGACAGAGCCAGTCATTAGTTCTCAACTGTGGGGGTCTAATGATTTGACAAACTATTGGATGACATATTGTTGATTTAGACGGTAGGGGGGAATTAGCAATAAAAATTAGTTCGTGTACTCAATTTTCTAAAAAAAAAGGTGAGGGTGCAAATTGAAAGTAGCGTACAAGTTCAGGGGTAAATCAACAGTGAACCCATATAATTTTAATAAGTACACCCTACTCACCATATTCAACCCTAATCAAATGTAGAAAAGTTTTCGTATTGCTTAATTTGATTTTTACCACTAATATTTCTAGCCAAAATGCGCATTTGATTGCCATGTTTCTACATCTCATTATATTTCGTATTCCCTTTGAGTTGTTATGTTCGGTTAAAATTATGTAAATTCGATTACAAGCCCAAATTTTGCTTTCTGTAAAAAATTAACATTGGGAATTAGACAAACATCACAATCACCCTTAAGTTGAAAGAAAATTTAGACCCAAAAAGAAACATTCAACCAAAAGAAAAAGAGACATGTTCATCCTTTGATGGGGCAATAAACTGCTTTTCCTTGACTGTGAATGAAATATTTTCATGGTTTAATTACATTCTCTGTTAGTTGTTACCCTGTGATGAATTCATGTTATGAAATTAAACCACTTTAATTATTTTTGTTTCTATGTATAAGAGAGTATTGCTACATAAAATAATTTCCAAATCTTCTTGGGCGATTGATTTTCCATGTTAATTTGCACCATGGGTTTTATGACTTGTGAATATGAACACTCTGGCATGTTACCACTTTGGCATGAACTGTAGCAGATAGCTCTTTTTTCTTTGTTTTTTACTTGCCCTATTGATTATTAAAATTATGCAGATTTGCAAATTGGGTTACTTTTGAAATTTTGGAATCAACTTGAAAGTTTATTGATGAACATAACCAAACACAAACGCCTTGTTTGTTGGTTTTAGTGCGTCAACATGATTAATTAAGAATATGTTGTTTGGAACTATCATTATCATAAGCATAGCAATTGATTTTGTTAATAATCTGAACTTAGGCACGAATTCATGTAAAAAGAGAAACATGGTTTAGAATTGATATTAGGGTGTACTTAGTTAATTTTACATTTTGATTAAAATATTATTGTGTACTTAAATCATAAGATGTACTCAGTTAATTTTAGGGTTCATTTAACAGCACTCTACATTTATATGACATTAAAAAGATGTACAGTAAGAGAAAAGGTCCTCAAAATAAGATGGAAAGTAAGAACATTTTACAAGTTGATCATTCTACCTGTATTAGTAGGGTTCGCCTTTCTCATGCACAAGTTGATCCCAGTTCTTAGCCTTCAAGAATTAATGAAACAACACTTGCCTAAGCAAGAGGTAGCTGATTTAACTTCAAAATCAAGAAAACTATAAACATGGTGTGATTATCAAATTACTCACAAATCAATCAGTCAGTTGCATACATTTCTAAACAAACCCAAGAGTTCAACTAAATCCAAGCAATAAATCCTGTCAGAAAATTTAAAAAATGGAGAAGCAGAGTGTGCAAAAATATTAGGACCATTTCTCACCCAAAAGAAAAAGCTTTGTTGGAAGCAAACTGTATATAAGGGGTTCCAAAATAATGTTAATCTTCGATGTGGGACAACTAATAGCTTCGGCCACCGCTATTTCTAAAACGCTGCGCAAAGTACGTGGTCTTTTATGTGCAACTTAGAGTTAGAGGTATTTTTAACCAATTTTAAATGTTTTCTTCTTTTTTAATCACATATTTTGTTCTCTTTTCTCTCATGGAAATTGTGATATGTTGTTTTTGAAATTTTGATCTTTTTGCTGTTTTCAAGTTTCTCTTTAGATTTCATAAGGTCTCTCTTTACTTTCCTTTTTATTTCCATTGAAATTCTATGAAATAATAATATTTGCACAGGGCATTTCTTCTTTTCTTACATAATTCGTTACGTTTCCTTGTTTTTTATCTTATATAATAATTATTTTTTTCTTTCTAAAAACACTTCTTTGTTGCTTCTTTAAGACTGGTTTAAGACGCCATTGAAATTCTATGAAATAATAATATTTGCACAGGGCATTTCTTCTTTTCTTACATAATTCGTTACGTTTCCTTGTTTTTATCTTATATAATAATTATTTTTTTCTTTCTAAAAACACTTCTTTGTTGCTTCTTTAAGACTGGTTTAAGACTGGTTTGGGGGATTTGTTGATTGATGACATTGTAGAGGTTTTTTAGGCCTGAAACATTTGTTTCTCAAACATTTAATTAATGTGAACGAATCAGGCCAAGTACATTACAACAAAAGGTAAAAGAAAGAAAGAAGAATGCATCAGGCTTCCATGCCAACTTTGTTCCTGTGCTCTGCCGGCTTGAACTTATTTGGACTCCTAGCAAAAACATCCGCACCAGGAATGCACACATCCAAAGAATTTTCAGCTGTTCCCATTCTGCCATTAAGGTTTTATCAAAGAAGAAAAAATATCCCAAATGCAGGTAAAATCGACACCGTTTTGTCGTGGATAGTAGTGAAAGGGCAGAACAAAATAGAGCTATGCTATTCCATAAGATTGCTATTTTATTATTGAATCAAAACAAAGAAAGGTTGTCAGTCTCAGATGCAATGAAAAATTTTGCATGAGTGCAAGGATTCTATTCAATTTACGATTGAAACATCTCATAAAGAAACACTAACAGAGCATATACAAGAACAAAAAACTTATGTCCAGCTAAGCAGCAGATCTACCAAGAGGCAAGTATCCAAACTGATCCCACAAGCTACTTCATCTTTCTAAGCGTGTTTACGTAGGTGTAACTGGAAAATCCTACAAACAGTTTGCGGAACCTGCAGATATAAAACGCAAATCTATTCATTTGACTATCTTATTACTTGGATTGCATTTGGTTGATGAAAGCTGAAGAAGATTCACAAGTAAAATAAAGGGAAAAAAAAAAAGGAAAACGTAGGTTGAGATCTCACAGCAAAAAAATGGTTCACAACTATTTTCAATGGATAAAAAGTAGAAAGCATACCAAACCCATTGGCTTGAATGTTGTGCCATCGCCCGGAAGCTCTTTCTAGGCTGCTCATTCAACAAGCAATGCAGCACTTCATGTGAGCATTGCATGGGATATAAACTGGACAGCCATATATCCACCGGACCGCTATACTTGCGGAATATGTTGGTACTAACCTGAGAAAAATAAATAGGGCAGCAAAAGAAAAGTTAAAATCACTGGTTTAACAGAAAATATGCTTGATATGTGCTACTGTATTAACTAGCATTAGAGTAAAGGATGCAATATGTAAAGTTATCATCCCATCCAATAAAACATTTAACCAAAACAAGACATTATTGTATAAAAACTTAGGTGACATATGAGAACAAATCAGAATCTCAAGATACTTGCTGATTATAGACAGTATAAAGAACTTGTCAATCATTAGAATTGGGCAGAATCAAATTGATGCCATAGATTTCAAATGAAAGAAAAAAGAAATCTAATGAAGAGAGAACATACAAGTTCCCAAGCTTCAATTTTCCTTTGTGACGATGCATGTAAGAGCTTCCTGCTTAGAGTACAACACAAAAAAACATTAAATCTAAATAGACTTTGCCAAACTTTAGCGTGCCAATGCCATAGTAAACAGATAAAACCACAAATTGGCCATCCTGAAAATGTACATGCACCAAAATAGGAAAGACAATAGGTACTTTCGAATTCATTCAAGGCAGGCAGATCAGTATCTTATTCTATGCAGTCACAGTAGTGTGAGAATTTGCAGGATAAGTCTCATCACTTGACTACTCTCTTAAATGTTGCACAACAGACCTAGGTGGAAAACCTTTTTTATTGAGAAACTTCAGTTTGGGCTGATTGTATATGCACCAAACCAGGCTAAATAATATCTCACAGCCAAAAGAAGAGGCTTAATCCTTTCAATTAATTACCTTTGGAAATACAAAAAACAGAAAATATGATTAAAATTCAGAGTGAGTTTAAGATGCTTCAACTAGTTTTCATATCCTATGTATTCATAATTACTAGATAACCTGATCGTTTCCTTTCTTTTTTTTTTTCCTTTTTTTTGCCTCGAACCTTAACAGCTAGCATTAAACCAAATAAGTCCAATATATTGGTAGTAAATAAAGGTCAACAGTAATATGAAAACATAATAGCCAACTGAATATCATAGATAAACCTCCAGATCTTAATTAAACCAAGTTAATAAAATATGGAAAATTTACTCATAGTTTCTACCAACCAAATAATGGTACCATGTTTAAAAGAATCAAAACAGCTACTTCCAACTCTCCTACTTTCTTTCTAGGCACGTAAGAAGTCAAAATTAAGTGGTAAATATCTAAGGTTTAAAAGATAAAGGGTAGAAAGACGGACCGTCAAGAGAATATATTCATGTGACATGAAGAGTCGTTAAAAGTCTTTTTTTTTTTTTTCGTAACATTTATTTCCATGCCATAAATATCTAACATATGTAGGCATTTATATAACAGGAATTTCCTTCTAATTTTAAAAATATTGATAAAATGTGATTGAAAAATGGAGCTTAACTTACATTACCCCATAATGCACGTCACAGTGGTTACAATGGCCCGAAACTCCATAATTGTCAAAAGTAATTATCTGATAAAGCCCATGTGAAATTGATGTTAGAAGTGGGAGATAAGATTGAACCATAAGAGCAGGCATTACTTTATACAAAACCAGTAATCCATCAAATGATGCTTATCACATCACCACAAAAAGACAACATAAGTAGTAATAAATTTCAGTAGTCCAGAAACTACAATAGCAGGTGAAGGTATAAAGCAAACTATTAGGTCTGAAGGATTATCTTACCAAATCAATGCCATAACTGTTAATTTCCTCTTCAATAATCAATGCCAATATGTTATGGTTCCAAACTTCGCCAAAACCATCCTAAAGATTGAAGATTGTGTTATAGATGCCTCAAGATACTATTAGGAATGATACTAATTCAATAGTTGAGTAGAACCTGGAGATCTGGATGGTCCAGAACCTTCACTTGTTGATGTGGAACCTGCATATCCAATTTCACATGTTATGAAGTCTAAATGAATGTTCTGGTGAAAATACGTCATAATGTGTCATAGATAACAAAAGAACATAAGTTCCGCAAGCAACAACACTTAATAGGATTTTCAGAATTGGATAAAATAAAGTTAACAACACTAAAATCACTTTAGTACTGGACCCCCACACGTGTGTAGACGCTTAAATTTTGGGTCACAACATTAAACAAAGTGAATTTTAAAGCCTCAACTCTTTTGTTCCAGATTGCATATCACCTTGAGGATTGCAGAAGCCTGGTAGAGCTCTTCTTTTCTGGTAATTCCTTTACCATCTGCATCACCTGCACAACAGACAAAACTGAATTCATTAAAAAAAAAATACTAGGAAGTTATAAGGGCAAAGATTAACAATTTACGAGACATAATTCAATCTGTACCACCAAAACTACTCTTAAGGAAGTTACATAACAATAAGTTACAATAAGTAGTGTAAAGGCTGAAACTACTGTGACACAGTTGGATGTGAAACCAACGGAAATATCTGGAGGGAAATTCTTATCCCATCCAAAGAACTGGTATGCCGTTATTCTAGATACATTAATGGATGGAGAAACAACCCTTGCATAAATTGGTACTCGACTGCATTCTAAGTGTAAGGGTGACTATAAGTCTATAATACACATACTTATTATATGTTCACTTAGTTTATTAGTAACCTTTACTAAAAAATTTATACATCCATTTTGGGTAAACACAACCCATGTATCAGTTATTAACATCAATTTTTTGTTTTTTTTTCATCAGGCTTCATTATCCCTAAAAAATTTCAAAGCAGTTAAGAAAAGATTGTTAAAATAAGACAATTGTCAAAACCAATTTAATAGAGTTAAATAGTTTTCATAACAAATGACGACCTCAGCCTTACTGTATATATCTACAAGTTTGTCTGTTGTCATATTATCTAATAGACCTCTATTTATAGTTTAGTGTTGTGCTTACGTAAAATTGATCCATCCTACTTCAAGGGACTGTTAAGAGAAACAGTCTGTCCACCACATTCCAAATTTGTGAACAAGTTTATGGTACAAGCTACATGGAGATTAATAAATGAAAAAAGGGAAAAGATAAACAAGCCAGTACATACCAATTTAAAAAAGGCAGAGACAAAGTTGTATATAGATGAGAGTGTGTTACCAATTGACAAGCAAAGAATGTGAATATTATGCCCTCTCGTGGTGAGATAGTTTATGGTTGGAGTAAAGAACCTGCAGAAATGCAATGGGCGGTTTGAACACAACATAAATACAGAACCTCGATGTAACATTTTATACAATTTGGCCAAAAAGAAGCAGATCTTGTCATCAAAACATATAAGGGAGATTCACTAATATACCCAATATAGGAGCCCAAATTATAAAAATACCCTATATGAAATGGACTTTAGAAACACACCCAAAACCCATTTATAACATAACAAAAAGGCTTTTAACTTCTTTTAAATTACAAAACTGCCATTGATTTGTCAAAACAAACCCAACCCCAAAACATATAAACAAGCCCAAAATACTCAATAGGACATCAAAGTAATTTAATAATCAAAATTAAATTCAATATGGCCAATTGTCATTTTTTTGGGTTTGTTTATAGAAATTAAATGGTGTAGGGTTTATTTATAGTTTTAGTACTAAGAATGGGTATTTGACTAAATATCTAAACATATAAAACAGTCACACAAGGGCACAACTATTCAAACAAATGAAAGTACGCCATGAGACAATCAGTAAGTAGTTCTAGATTCCAACACCTACATTTCCTTTTTGGGCCACTTAGTCTTGTTAATTATCATGGAACAATATTGAAGTAAATTCAAACATCAACATAGAAGGGCTCAGAGGCGAGCTGATATTTATGCGACCAGGATAAATTCTGCCTCAAACCCATCCAACATTCAAGAAGCACCAACACAAACTAACAGCTCAAAAACTCGTCTGAAATCGGCTACAACTGAAGCCATTATTAGAGCCAAAGAAATGATAATCAATTTTTTACAGTTATGCTTACATGGACTCATCATCTGGGTGGGCAACAACCAGCAAAACATTTCTCTTGTTGATACTGCCACCTGATTCAATAAATACAGTGTACTTAACCAGTATGCATAAAAAGAATGCGGCAAAATAAGCAAGCTCGGGCAGAGTGGCAGACTACCCACCATCTTTCAAATTATTCAAGAAAGTACCCTTCGGAGGTGAATATGAGCCATGCAGAATTTTGCATAAAGAAGCTACCCATAGTACAATCACAGAAGAAATAATCAAGAACCATGCCATCCGGCATGCACCTGCAGACAATGATAAATTGATAATCAATTCATCAAGTCAAACAACCTCCAAACTCAAGAATGGAACAAACCCAGTAAACCAAAAGGAAAAGAAAATAAAAACTTGGACACAATTCATTGTTTTTGTTCTGCAACATATTCGATAGACACTCCCAATGCTAAAAGCCGCGGCATATACTTTTAAGTAAAAATTAAACATTCACTTACAACTAACCAAACACAAAGTGTATGATAGGTTCAAGAAAGACTCAGAAATCAATAGCACCGAGAAACCCAACAAACCCATAATGGCTCTCCAATCAATAAAATGAAACATAAATGATACTGAAAAGAATAACGAGACAAATTGGAAACTTAGGCTGCATTTGCTTCATGATCCAAATTTTCCTATTCAAAAACTTTGTATTCTTACGTTTTGAACAATCTGAATTTTTTTTTAACTGTATCTGAACATTGTTTCCGAAATTTGAAAGACAATGAAAGCATATTTGGTTTGCATTGAATCTCACTCAAACCTTTCATCAAACATCATCAAGGCAAAACTTTTGCCCAAACCACTGACTGCTCCTCAACAGTCGAATGCGAATAAAAGAAAACGATAAAGAAGGAGACAAGGAACGGAGGAGTTAAGTGGAGGAGCCCTTACCTGGATTAGTAATCTCTTTCTGTTTTGCCGGAAAAAATTTCCCAGAAAGTTTTAAGCTTGACGACTCTTCTTAACATTAAAAAAAGGAGCCAATATATATAATAGACTTGGCAAAGAAAAATAAAAACAAAAAACCAGACACCACGTGTCGAAAACCCATATGCCCGGAGCATCATCGTCTCCTTACCCTTCTGCCTTGACAGTTTCACAGTTCCTTTAACAGACAAAACACCAAAAACCCTAAACAGTCAACCATTCCCTACAGGCAAGACCACAGAATTAAACCATGGACCAACAACATCAACTGCTCCTTGCTCAACAACAACAGCTGCTTTATCAACAGTTCCAAGCTCTTCAACAACAACAAGGTTTTATTGCATACCAATCAAACCAAGCTTTCTGCTTTCGTTTTCAACACCCACAAAAACAACAATACCACCAGCAGCAACAAGGTTATTACCAATCGAACTATACCAATGTCTACCAGCAGCTGCTGCAGCAACAACAACCTTATCCACCACAACCTGTCCAACTTTCTCAATCACAACTAGTCCAGCCACCTGGGATTCCGGGGCTGGAGGCTGTGCTGTCTCGACTGGCGCAATTTTCAGGGTCCAGAGTGGGAGCAGTGGCAGAGAGGCCTTTGTATCAACCGGTACAATGTTTTGCTTTTGATTGATTGGACTGGTGGCATTGTCATCGAATTGCTTTTGATTGTTTGTTTTATGTATCTGCTTGACAAAAATGAGTTGGGTTTTTTCGGCTTCACTTATCTGATCCATTTTTGTATTTGGAACCCCATTATATACATAAACATATATATACATATATAAGGTACAAACCAGGAAGGATAATCTTTTGCGTGAAATGGTTGGTTCTTCTGTCCTTCTATTTCTCTGGTGGTTTAAACCAGGAAGGACAAAGATTTTGTGATCATGGAGACTTGGAAATAAGTAGTAAGGGAAGGATATCTTTTGGACTTTCTGGCTTAAGTAAAATACCCTTTCCTTATAGGTTCAGATTTTACATATTCTATATTAAAGAAACTCCTATCAGTACTTTTGGAAGGGGGTTGTAATTATCAGGACATCATTTACATTAACAACATGTTCTGGAATCAAACACTAGGGGGTTTTCCTTTTCAAAATTTTGAGATGTGTTTTCAATATTTTTGTTTACTTGCTTTGAAACACAGCTCATTGTGTTTGGTTTGGGAGCTTGGATGATAAGACACTAATGAACTATGTGGCGCAAGATGACCATAATGTAGTTGCTTCTGCAAACTCAACGATGTATTATTTACTCCTGTCACCATCCTCTTCCAAATCTCTTACGAGTTCTATGGTTGAAACAATAAAATACTTGTAGAGAATCTTTATAAACTGAAAATAGGTGCAGATACATGAACCAAAGGAGTATTTGTTTGATGTTTGGGTGATCTGAACTATTCTAACTTCTTTTCTTGCTCAAATATGCACAATTAAGCCACTGGAGATGGTGCGGGTACTACCCCTATTAATTTAAATGACCTGCAACTTTGTATGCAGAGTGAAGAATTATCGCCACTCAATTCACATAATGATATGTAGGAAACTTTTGTGCAAAGAGAACATGGCAGATTTGTTGGTTTGTTTTAGACTATATGTTCGATTGGCTTCCTGAATTTTGTTTGTCTGGTTCCTGTTGATTAAGTTTTTAAGTTCATCTAGATGTTTTGTAAAACTCTCTGGTGGGTATCTACTCCTCAATGTTGCCAAATTATCATTTTTGTCTCACTGTACTTTTTCTGAAATCCCTTATGTTGGTTTTGGGTATATGTATTATTAGCAGAAGGTAGAAGCAAATTTATGGTTTTGATGTCATCTGACTTCTTTTGAAGTTGAGGCTGTTTTTGCTATGTATCTTGCTCTTTTCTGAAGGGTTTGGAGCGATGTATTGGCTAATGTATTTGGTGCTCTAAGTCACAAAAGGTCCTTTCTGATTGCAAACCCTGTGGGTCAGTTTGAAATATTGATATTCTAAGTTGCAGAGGGTTTTTTAAGATTGCAAACATCATTGCTCTTTTTCATTTGGCTTGTATCCAGCTTTCTACGTTCTTATTCTTTCAAGATTTAATATTCAGGTTGGTCAGCCTCCATACAGGAGTAGTGGTGAAAGGGGTGGTGAGCCATTCAAAGGACACCAAGGAAATTTTGGCTACAACCACCTGAGACCTGGTGGAGCTGGCCCATCTTTCATTGGAAGACCACATGGTTATGGTAGTGGTGGCCCTAAGCATTTCTCACAACATGGTTTCCCTTCAACATCTTCGCATCCAGAATCTTCAGTTGCTCCAGCAACACTTCCACCTGAGAAATCAGAATCAGCGTCGGCACTTAAAACAGAAGTTCCAAACAAAACAAAAGTTCGGAACAACCAAAGTCCCCAGGTTGCTTGGTGTGAAATTTGTAAGGCCACATGCAATAGTTTGGAAATTCTTGAGAATCACAAGAATGGAAAGCGACATAAGAAGAACATGAAGAATATGGAAAATATGAAAAATGCTATCAGATCAGGGGATGAATTACAGGGCCAACAGAATCGTACATCTAATTCAAATCTGGAAGTGTCTCATGATGGTGAACAGAACAAACCAACCGAAAATTTACCCGCTGAAGCTGTTATCCATGTAAAATCTGCGGAAACTGAACAGCAAAATAATATCCCGGGGCAGCAGCATGGTCCAAAGCGCAAGAAGAAGCACAAGATTACTTCTGAAACTGAAACTAAGATTGTTATTCCGCTAATCTGTGATATATGCAACGTCAAGTGTGATAGGCAGGGGGTTTTTTACCACCATCTTTCTGGAAAGAGGCATGTTGCTAACTTCAAACGATTTAAAAGTAGCCAAGCTATATGTGGGCCAGTCGGGCTTCAAGCTCTTTACCCCCCTAACCCAATTGCTCAGACTATTTTCCATCCCCAAGAAGGGAAATACATGCCTCCCCATGTGTACCAAGAAATACCGGTGGAAACAAGTTCAAGCTCCTAATTTCAAGAAAATCCTGAGATCGGAGGGTCAGAAGCCTTGCCTGAATTGTGGAAACCATAATACTGTTACAATGGCTATGGAAACCACAGAGAAGTCTGTCACAGAAGAACCGAACATCAAGCAAGCAGCTACTATCGAGGCTAATTGTGTGACTGGTGTTTCAGAGACTAAAGATCAGGGGCCAAATCCTCTATCACATGACAATTTTAGAAGCTGACTCTAGTCCAACTTTGTAAACGAATGAAGCAACATAGCCTAAACAGCAGTACTACATGCCATGTACGTGGAATTTCATTGAATTTTACCCCATTGAAAATGTTCTCCTATGGAAGTTAAGTTTAGCTTAAATCTAAATATCTATCAGCATTCTTTGCTGTTCAGTGAGCAGCTCAGCAGTCTCCAGTTAGGAAGTTGAGTTTAGTTTTTTAAACTGGCTGGAAAGCCAGAGGCATTGTTTGTATAAAAGAAGGAACCATCTGTAATGAATACAGTCATTGAGGAAATGAGATTTACAATGAGATTTTCTTTGAAAGTATTTGCTGGTACATCTAATTTAAGCCCTACGTAGGTGAGCAGATAAGAGGTTATAGTTTCTCTATTACCCTTAAATTTTGAATCTTAAAACTAAATAGTTTTACTTTATAAGGAATTAGTTGATATTTGACTCAACAAACAGTGCTGGCCCTAATATCTTAGCGCTCTCGGATGTGAATTATACAACAACAAAATCCAAACCACTATACATACATATAAGGGAAATAATTGGCTTGTTGCATGAAAGGAATCAGTCATCCATACCTCCAAATTAGAATTTGACAAATGAATGAAGCTTTACTTTTTGTGTTTTCAATAAGTTACTTTTATATACGTGTCAAACTATAACTCGCAAGTAAGAAAGAATGCGACTCATTCGAGGTGAATAGTCAAGCATTGTTCATATATATATGTGGCTGACTCGGAATCAAATGATTTTTTGTAGAGATTATTTTTGAATGAATATCTATCAAATAGAAGGTTCGGATTAGAAAAATACAATATCGGGTGTGCCCTATAAGGATGTCCCTCAAATAATTTTTGGGTCAAATCTGATATATATCATAGGTAGTATTGTACGTTAAACATTTTATCAATATTTCTTGTGCATTCAATTGAGTAAGGTTATAGAGCTCAAACAATTGGGCCCCTGTTATCCCACTTTCGTCTCTCACACGAACATAGGGAGTGCAGTTTATCTACTAAAATTGGGTGCGCAAGCCTACGAGTCTAGCCCAGTGAAAAGAAATACTTGCATATCAGAGGTCTCAAGTTCGAATCTTACAGCATCATAATTGTGTGTGTGTGATAAATACCCCTCTTCTGTAACTTTAGACTATGACTTGTACTCAAAAAAAAAAAAAAAAAAGATAGGTGTGCAATTTATCTAGTAAAAAAAGAGAAGAAAGAATTGGCAAAAAAGAGAAGAAAGAAAAATATCTTTAGAGTTGAAAGCTCAAGACCTTGGGCCCAAATCCAGTCCATATAGATTGACCGCCCCATTCGTCATTTTTGCAGCTTTGCCTTTTCTCAATCCCTGCATCCATTCCATACTTCTTCCATAATTCCTTTCCAATCCACACCCAGACGCTAAGCAGTTGAGACTTTACACAGAGTTGAGAGAGAGAGCTTCAAGTTTCATCCATGGCTGACCACTCTGATGATTTAGACGAACTCCTCGATAGTACGTATTACATACAAGAAGCTTTGCTTTCTCTCTCTCTCTCTCTCTCTCTAAATTTTGTAATTTTGTCTTCGAATTGATTTTCAGGTGCCTTAGATGACTTCCAGAATCTCAACCTCAACAAACCCTCCCTTCAGAGGTTTCTCTCTCTCTCTCTCAAAAGCTTCAAGCTTTACTTTGTAAATTCTCATGCGGATGTTTGTTTCTTCAAAATTCTCAGTTTGTATTTGTGTTCAAAACGTTATTTTCTTCGTTCCGAAGGCAGTTTGTAATTCTTCAAAATTGTTTGTCTTGAATTGTTTATGAAAGTAAAAACCAAGGACAATTTGTCATTCAACATTTGGTTTTCAATATAGAAAGGAAAGGAATCACATCATGGGTGTTTGTATTTTGCTTTTGCCCAAGTTGCTCAACAGCATTTTCAACTAAATGAAATTATTGTTATAAGTATAACCCATGAAGAAAATGGTGAAATAAAGCATTAGGCGTGTATAATGAATTATATATTTGTAGTAATATCAGAATGCTTAATGGAACTATGTGAAACTTCTGCGCCAAGTTGAGTATTTACATTCTTTTTCTTGTCATAGAAGTAAAGAATCTACAGAGAACAAGCAAGAACCACCTTCCTTGCCTGCTGGGGTTCAAGGACTTGGCATG